TAATAATAATAATAATAGTGAAGGTAATAAATAATAATTATCAATAATAGTAACAACAATAACAATAAGAAATAACAAGAAGAACAAACCGAGTAATCGATGTCAATAAAGTGAAGAGTGGTGGCGAGATAGTAAGGGGTCCAACAGATCAGGAAGAAGAGCACAATGCTTAACGTCATTCGGACAGTTTTGGATTTAGCTCGTTTAAGGTTGATTAGGTGCGATGAACTGGCACGTACAGTACGTGATCTTTCGAGACGACATGAAGAAGACCTTCCTTGAATTGAATGGTATTACTGGAACATCCAGTGGTTAGTCGATTCAATGCTTAGTCCCCATTCAATGGTACATTAATTTCATTCATGTTTATTATGCACCAATTAATGTCAAAATAACCTCTGGATGTGTGTTCTGATGGGGTGACGAGATTGTTCCTCTCGGATGTTATCATCACTGCAATAACACTCATCTGTTATTACCATTTATGATATACACTATGAATACTGATAACGGTAATGGTAACTGAGCGAACCATCTTTTTGTGACTTGACGGATATTTTGAGTCGATAAAAGATCAACGAATAGCAACAAATGATAACAGCTAAAGGTAAGAAATAGACGTAGACGGCAGTTGCGAATGTGTATATCAGAACATAGCGAGTATCCATTAGTCCGATGTAGTCCCTGGCGATGCATTGCACGTATCTGTGATCACATGGGTGCGATGCCGTTAGGAATATATACAGCTGCAATCATTAACTAATTTTTTTAATGGCTCATATTGATGTTGCAAGAAAGGGGATGTAGATGATGAAATTTGACATGGGTGCTCACGGAGAGAGGAGTAGGCTGTAGGCTAGCACTGTAGGAGCCTCCAAAGCTCCCCTCCGATTCATTTCACTCAATTCCCACTGCTTCAGACATGATTCTCGTGTTTTCAATTTGTACTAGTGTTGGATGAGTGCAAAACCAGATTTGGACACCTGAGAAAGTCGTCAATGGACTGAAAGGACCACAGTCCAACTCTAGTATCATGGTACATTCAAGTTGCAACAGTTTTCTTGAAATTGATCAACACTCGTGAATTCGATCACTCTTCAAAAAGGGCGATTCCATGTATCGCGGATGAGAGAGGTGAAAAAAGTTGCACCTTTGCGTTCAGCAAACGAATGCACATTTGTTNCATAATGAAAGACTTCGATAAATACTATTAATCGTTTCAAAAAATTGTATAATAGTATTGTATAGAAGTAGATAGCATACTTGAGGTAAACTGATAATGAAGGCAGTGATCCACGCGACAGACAACATGATTTTACTTCGATGAATTCCGTGAAAGGTTGAGAACGGTCTCGAAACCGAAAGCATACGATCGAAACACATGCAAATTAATACTGCTGACGATAAACTCACACCGAAGATGTCGAAGAAGCGACCAATCTATCGACAATATTATCGTTATCACAGTGTCTTTTTACTTGGTAATAATGATAATACCAAAGTAACCTTACAAAGAAGATTGCCTCCGTACCACCAAACCGTGTACATATGAATGACTTGCTTCGGAAGATACTCAAATGTGACTATTAAGTCAGCGATATTCATATGCAATAACAGCAAATAGATGCGACTTCCCCGTGCCGATCGAATATTCCGATGCAGTATTAACAACATCGCCACATTTCCGAATGCCGCGAAACAGAACAGTACCAAATGCGATAATATCTGAAGAGAAAAATTACTTATCACTGTTATCAGTATTGTTACCATAATCATTACTTAACAGTAATGACGTATACTTAATAGCAAAGATGGGCAATGGCAATAGCGTGTTAGTCCGCTAATAGCGGAGCTTATTTTCATCGGTAGTGCGATAGCGTACTACCTTTTGCAAGCAGAGGAAATTTGTAGCGATAGCTTGCGCTACCTTATTTGGTTAG